AAGACATGGCACTACCAAATGAGGTATAGGATACTCCCTTTTTCCTTACAGGGGCCCAATTAACATCAAAACAATTATTTTTAATTTAAAAAAAATGTATTTTCTCGATTTTACTTTCTTTGTTGTTATGTGTAGATAACAGGGAATGTTGAAATCGTGTTAAATTTGTACTTCCGAGTTAAATTTCACGTTTTCAGATCCCTGAACCCCCCAAAACAAAAATAAATAAAAAAATCCGTGGATATTTGTATTTATTGGCATCTATTTCGTTTAATATCTCAATGTAGAGTAAAGATTAAGAAACGAAATTTGGCATGGTAGCTTGTGTATGACGCTATGAGCGGCGTTAAATGTTGGTAGTTAAAGGTCGATGGATATTTTTAAAACTCTTTCCGCCCTGTGGTCACTAAGAGGGCCTCTTTTAGCAAGCCCATTATCGATTCGGCCAGGCCCACAATGGAGCGGCCGGATGATGAAGGATGAGGTCCAACATATCTGGACGGATCATCCTCCGAAAAATTTCTGGAGATTTTTCAACTTGGATTAAATCCCGAGTCTTCCAGAGCGATAGGCTGCCACCTTGACCGCTCTGCCATCCAGCTGTCCCAGGTCGATGGGGTAAAGAGATAGTTAGTGCCGATGTTTCATATCTCGAGAGGGATAGGACTTAATGAAGACTTTCCTCTTTATTAACAGTTACAATTTTTCACAAAATTCATCACTACTCTCAAAATTAATCTTTTTACCATTTTAATCATTAAAAATGTAAAAAGCATTTTAAAATAAATTCTCATAACAGATGGCGCCACACACAATTTTATTTATTATGCTTAATAATATAAAAATTTTTTTAAAATAAAATCTTATAACAGCGGGAAATTTGTGCAACTAATTGCTGGATTTTTTGTGAAAAGAGAACAGTGACAGAAGTAGTTGTNAAATAAAATTTGAAATTAACAGAATATGTAAAAGTTCATGTCACACCTTTCACTACGTGACGGCACATCAGTGTGCCGCGGCACACCGGTTGCGGAACACCGCTCTAGTCAGTAAATATATTTGAATCATCAATCATAAATGATTTTTAAAAATATTAAGAGTTTCTATAAATTACAATCCTCTAATATGCTTAACTTGCTCGCGATAACTTCAAGTCAAAGAAAAGAATATATGAGGACTTTACATCTGTATCTCGTTAGCTTTTCTGTGAAGGTTGTATTTCCGAGTTCGTGAAAAATCTACAGGTGAGAGAGAGAAAGTGTTTGAAAACATATGTAATTTTTGGCATTCCATCGCCGTTGTTAAACTGATAAGTTATTTTCAAATTAGAAGTTACAAAATGCACATTGTTGATGGCCGAGGGTTACATGAGTTTGCATGGGTTTTTCACGGCGGTCCGCGCATGAATTAGGATCAGTAATTTTAAAATTTCAAAAGACTACGTTTTCTGTAAGTCGGACGCCTTTTTGAACGGGCCGTATCCAGAGCCGTAGCTATGGAAGTCATGAAGTGGCTAAACCTCCTTAGCTTAGTTAACAATGCTTATATGCAGAATATATGCTTTCGCTTTCCTCACATAAACTTTTACATCTACTTTTTTATACTTAGACTATAGCCAATTGGCCTAGAACTTCCTGAAAAAGTAAAAAATCCTAGTCAAATTTTTAGCACTTTGCTCTATCCCCCCAATGATTTAGTCCAGGCTGTGGAACTGACAGTACCACGGCAACTTACGATATGAATTAAAATAAAAGTTTTTAAAAATTTAATAAAATAAGACGCGCTTGTATTTTGTTTATTAATTGCTATTTTTCTCGAGTGAAATATAACGTATATTACAATAAGGAAAGGCTCGGGAAAACGGCCCACCGGGTAATTTCCGAGTTCACGGTGGACCTGTCCACCACTGCTTAGGATTTAACATACAGTTTGGCCTCCGAATACGTAACGTAAGCCTCCTGTTGCTACGTATTGGATATCGAAACTTCGGTATTAACGAAAGTAGCTAAGACTAGGCCCCTGGACGAGTAGGAACCTCTTTCAAGGAGAAACCTGTGGTAGATAGGAATCCGGAATGGAAAATTGCGGTATAAATGACATGATATCGGGTGAAGCAATATCCAGTGAACTTTTAAGTCCAAGGGAAATAGCATCTCTTATGTATGTTCCAATTACATCTTATGATATAGAGCATTTTCCAGGTACCAAAGTGTTGTTAGACTGAACCCATTATCCTTCATTAAAAGAGTACTACCGGAGTACCGGTTAACTGTATGGCCCGTCTCAAAATTCAACGAAACTTTGCGAAACACTTTTTTCCCTTTGCTCTTTCCTCCCTGTAGGCACTAAGAGGGCCTCTTTTAACAAGCCCATTATTTAAGTGTTCGGCCAAGACCACAATGGGGCGGCCGAGTGATGAGGGAGGGTAGTCATATCCGGTAGGATCACCACCGAAAAATTCCTGGGGGTTTTTCGACCCATCTGGATTCGATCCCAGGCAGTGGCGTACCGTGGGTGTCAGCCGCCCGGGGCGGAGGAAATTTTCGGCCCCCCTTATTGAGGTATTTCAATTTAAAAGACCAAAATTCAGTTTTGTTACAGAACAAGCAATGAAAAATTCGGTGGTAGTGCAGCGACCTGTTTAAAATAGTTCTCTTGAATATTAGTGGTGTATATGAACGCGAATGAATCGTAAAAGCAAAATAAAAAAAAAACGTCAACAGGTTTCGCAGGAATTCCTCGGATGAAAAAGCTACTAGTTCACCCAGCGAGCCGATTCCCGGACTGTCCGGACGATAGCACTATCGTAGGCGCGATGCAAGTATAGATTAGGATGTTTCAAATTTTTACAAGATATTATTATTATTTATTGTGAAATTTTGCCGTCCTCTAAAAGGAAATTTTGCCGCCCCCTAAAAAGTGCCGCCCGGGGCGGACCGCCCCTGCCGCCCCCACTACGGTACGCCATTGATCCCAGGTCCCCCAGAGCGGTAGGGTGCCACCACTCTGTAACCGCTCGGCCATTTCGCCGTTGCAAAAACATACTCGAACTCAAATTGCATTTGTAAAAATTTTGGACCCTAATGTGCTGCCATCTGTTGATAAAATTTTTAAATTGAATTAAAAAGTTTTTGACTAAATATTTTGAGTGGACTAATTTCATTTTTTAAGGTTTTTTGGTTATTGATAGCATACGTGACTATTCAGCTTTAATTTTAATTCGATTTCTTTAACGTTCTCAAGTTGTGCAATTTTATAATTTTTGTTCTTTATAAGACATGGCACTACCAAATGAGGTATAGGATACTCCCCTTTTCCTTACAGGGGCCCAATTAACATCAAAACAATTATTTTTAATTTAAAAAAAATGTATTTTCTCGATTTTACTTTCTTTGTTGTTATGTGTAGATAACAGGGAATGTTGAAATCGTGTTAAATTTGTACTTCCGAGTTAAATTTCACGTTTTCAGATCCCTGAACCCCCCAAAACAAAAATAAATAAAAAAATCCGTGGATATTTGTATTTATTGGCATCTATTTCGTTTAATATCTCAATGTAGAGTAAAGATTAAGAAACGAAATTTGGCATGGTAGCTTGTGTATGACGCTATGAGCGGCGTTAAATGTTGGTAGTTAAAGGTCGATGGATATTTTTAAAACTCTTTCCGCCCTGTGGTCACTAAGAGGGCCTCTTTTAGCAAGCCCATTATCGATTCGGCCAGGCCCACAATGGAGCGGCCGGATGATGAAGGATGAGGTCCAACATATCTGGACGGATCATCCTCCGAAAAATTTCTGGAGATTTTTCAACTTGGATTAAATCCCGAGTCCTCCAGAGCGATAGGCTGCCACCTTGACCGCTCTGCCATCCAGCTGTCCCAGGTCGATGGGGTAAAGAGATAGTTAGTGCCGATGTTTCATATCTCGAGAGGGATAGGACTTAATGAAGACTTTCCTCTTTATTAACAGTTACAATTTTTCACAAAATTCATCACTACTCTCAAAATTAATCTTTTTACCATTTTAATCATTAAAAATGTAAAAAGCATTTTAAAATAAATTCTCATAACAGATGGCGCCACACACAATTTTATTTATTATGCTTAATAATATAAAAATTTTTTTAAAATAAAATCTTATAACAGCGGGAAATTTGTGCAACTAATTGCTGGATTTTTTGTGAAAAGAGAACAGTGACAGAAGTAGTTGTGATTTTATTAGTTCAACTACAAGAATTTATCACAGGAAACATAACAGGGCATATATATCATTTGGGTTAAAACAAATGTTTTTTCAAAGTTGAATTTTGAGATGGGCAAGAATTCACGTAGTTAACCAGTAGCATACTAGTCTTTTTAAAAATATTTTATAGTATGTTGTGGTAGTTTTCCTACAATGAATAATGTAAATAACGTACACATTATATAAAATAAATGTTTAATAAATGATGTAATAATTGTACAGTAGAACCTCGAAAACTCGGCTCTCGATAACCCGGCACTCCGGATAACTCGGCCACACCCTGGCAGGGCAAAAAAATCCTTAGTTAATTAATTTTCATTATAGACAGCTTTATAAAAGTATAAAAGCTCTCATAAAGTATTTTTCTGAGGTCTGTCTTATCAGGTAAATTACTGTACACAGTGTATTCATTAATTTTCATTTTCATGTAGTAAAGGCTCTATGCCTTCATAAAGGACATACTTTTCCTTTGTTTAAGGGTATTTGGGCAGTTTATTCTCTGTTATATTCTCAATACATACAAGTACAACAATACATACAAGTACAGTACAGTATTTTCTGAGGAAACAATCGTACTTATTTTTTTAAACCCCATTCCCGATAACCCGGCATTTTCACAAACTCGGACACCCTTCGGTCCACATTAGGCCGAGTTTTCGAGGTTCTACTGTATTTAAATATAAAATTAAAAACAAAAACTCACAAGTTAAATATTATTCAATGGATTTCATTTAAAAATCGGATACAGTATTTACGTACAGAATTCGAACAAAATTCCATGTTCATCGGGTTTGGTATCAAAAGAAATTCGATAACATTTAAAAAAAATTTCATATCGAATTTTGTTCGCCCAAATTACCCGATACTAACTTGTAAGTTCATAAATTTGATGATAACTTTTTAATTAATTAAGTAATTATCACGTCAAAATTCATTAAAATCTATCAAAACAAAAGATTTTTCCTCTGAATGACGGATAAAATCGATTATAAGATACGTCTTTGTATTTAAGTACTGATAATATAAAATGCATTAAATAGGCCTATTTCATTTTTTAAGGAAATATTTAAATTTGACTACGTTTTAATCCTGTATTAGGATACTTCTAGATTTCAGATAAGCGATAATTTTATTTTAATTATTAATGAAATATCAATGAAAATATTGCTACATTTATATTTTATATATAAAAAAGTAAGTTATCTTAAATATATTTTAAGGTGGCTTAAAATAATCTTAAAATGTCTATCGGTTAACTGACTTTTGGCCTTTCTCTATAATCTTAAATTATATATATAATTTAATAATTATATCTAAACACATTTGTGTAACTTAATGTTATGAAATGAAATTTCTAAATTTTATCATCAATATTATATTTTATGAAATATAATAACGTTAAAAATTTAAATCCTGTCAGAAAATCTGTTTCTAATCTGCAAATCATTTGTATCTTGTTTCTTTGTAAGTTTTTATGAATAATTCATTAAATATATTAATAAACAGTTGACTAATCAACTATCTTACTCGTTAGTTGTTATTTATTACAGTAAGTAAGAGCCTAAATAATTACTTCTTTTCAATAAAATGAATATTATAAATTTTTATACGAACCTATTTAAAAATTTTTCTATTTTATTAAAAAAATAATATATAATTATAAATTATAATCTGTTTCTAAACTGCAAAATATTGGCTGGAAATCATTATAATTTTATATAAGATATACGGTAAAAATAAAGTTGCAAGTTTGATATTTAATAGCACTTTTAAGACAAATTTACGTTAATTCATGGTTTAAATATGTTTAAATTCATATTTTAAGCAATTAGGACATACTTTAGAAGTTTAAAATTTAGGAAAAATTGGAGAATTTTAATAGAAAGTTATTAAAGTTAATATCATTCATTGAAAAAACTGTATTCTAATTAGTTGTACTCCTATAACTTATTAAAATTATAAATAATTGATAAGTTATGAATAAAATCTGAGAATAAAATAAATTAAAATTAAATGTTAAAATTGCTATTTTAAATAATCTGATTATTAATTATATTCAGAAGTTATAAGAAATGAGATTTTAGTGATGATTACAACTTAGAATTATTAGAAAATAACGTTTATTATCATTATTTGATTATTTTATATTATAAACAGCAAGCAAAAATTATTATAAAATTTTATTAATCACATAAATAATTTATAACATAATCTAAATCACAGTAATAATATTATTAGTGTTTATTTTAGATATTATTTAACAAATACTATTTGTTCGACGATTAGACTCAATTTTACTCATTTTTAAATAATTAGATGAAATATTTTTTAATGTAAATATTTGAGTCATATTTTATTTTTCAATTAAAATATATGAAAAAAGTAATAAATTAATATTGCTACTTTATTTTTTCTCCTGTAAATTGATACACAATATTTTAATGAGTAATATCTTCTAGTGTTACAGGATATACCTGTAGGTCATTCTTATCTGATTTCTTTTTCTTTTAAACTTATTTTCCTTTTTTAATTAGAAATAAAATTTTAAAAAATCTTTCTAAAAGATTTTCAGCAGTTATTTATTTAATATTATTACAAATTTTTAAATTTATGTGTTGCTTTATTTGCATATTAAAGATATATATATTTAAAAAAGTGAATAATGTTATTAATTACAAAAGATATTAAATCTAACTTAATAAAACATTATTACTTAAAAGTATATTTATATTTATGTCAACACTATAAAATTTATTTACTATAAAATATTTCCGTAGGCACTGACAAAGATCGTGACCTAAATACTGTAGATACGACCTTGCTATTCGTGATAAGAAGATAATCTTTCTGCAAATTATTCATATTAAGCAATGATGGAGAACAAGTCGGTCGCAATTATTGGTGGAGGTCTCGTAGGATCTTTAGCGTCTTGTTTTTTGGGTAATCGTGGAATTAAAGTGGATTTATATGAACAAAGGAAGGATATTAGAACTTTGGAACATGTCACAGGAAGAAGTATCAATTTAGCTTTGTCTGTTAGAGGTCGATCAGCTTTGAAAGCTGTAGGATTAGAAGAAGAAATCATCGAAAGACATGCCATTCCTATGTACGGACGTATGATTCACGATAAAGATGGAAGAAGAAAACCTATTTTCTATGGAAAGAATAATCAATGTATATTCTCGGTCGGTCGCCGTCACTTAAATGAAGTTTTGTTGACAGCGGCCGAAGCACATCCAAATGTAAATATTCATTTCCAGCATAAATTAACTTCATTGGATTTAGATAAAGGTGAGATGATTTTTTCAGTCCCAAATAATTCTGTTTCTTCGAATGCCGATTGGATCATCGGTTGCGACGGTGCTTATTCTGCAGTTCGCAGAAGTATGCTCAAACAACCACTCTTCAACTATAGCCAAGAATATATCTCACATGGATATATGGAACTCACAATTCCACCTAACGAACATGGAGAGTTTGCCATGGAAGTCAATTATTTGCATATTTGGCCTAGAAAGACTTTCATGTTAATTGCATTACCTAATCAAGACTGTACTTACACGGTTACTCTTTTTATGCCTTTCGAGAGATTCGCAGAGTTATCTACTCCTACAAAACTATTAGATTTTTTCAATAATTATTTCCCAGATGCTGTTAAATTAATTGGCAAAGATAAACTGATTACAGATTACTTTCAAAATAAAGCCTCTCCTCTTGTTACAGTAAAATGTCGGCCATATTATTTTGGTAAAGCTATGTTGATGGGTGACGCCGCTCACGCTATGGTGCCTTTCTATGGACAAGGCATGAATGCGGGATTCGAAGATTGTCTAATTTTTGACGAATTATTAACTAAGCATTCTAATAATTTCGATATAGCCATTTCGGAATTTTCAGAAAACAGGCAGCCGGATGCAGTTGCTATTTGTGATCTAGCGGTTTATAATTATAAAGAAATGAGAGATTTAGTTAATTCTAAACTATTTATTGCCAGAAAGTATTTGGATAATGTATTAAATGATATATTCCCAGATAAATGGGTACCTCTTTATAGTAGTGTATCATTCACGAGAATGAAATATAGCGAATGCATTAAAAATAAAAAATGGCAAGATAAAATAATTAAGAGAAGTATTTCTATATTCGCATTGCTCATATTAGTCTTGTACATATTTTTATTTTAATTGCATAATAAAATATCTCTGCGGAATTTACTTAATTTCGAATTTACTTAATTTCGTGCTTATGAAATTCCTCTAACATTACAACATTGATCTTAATTTTTTAATTTCGATAATTTACTTTTAACATAAAAGTCATATTTAAATTTAATTTTTTACTAATAAAAGTTTTTCGAATTAAGAATTATAGTTTTTAATTAAATATATATAGCCTATATATAATGTAGAATAATGTATAAATTATGTAAAAAGTGAGTTATGTTCAGTCCAAATATGTTAAATTACTATGTTCATATGTTATATGTAAACTAGTTTAGTGTTTAAATAATTTTTTGTAATTAAAATTTTATAGGATTTATTAATATTTTTGATTGTTACGCCGAGATTTTAATTTCAAAACAATTTTTGGAACTGTCGATAATGATGCTGATGTAATTAAATAGTTTTACTTATGTACAGTTTAATATAGAGGACAAGGTCAATACAAAAATCTTAGAAAAATATCTTAAAGTTATCATTTATACTTTTCATAATGCTTCTTTTTACGACTTATCGCAACTTTTATGCCGCTTTAAACTACTTAAAACGAAGTTAAAATATTTTATATATAAATGAAAGTCGCATCAGAATTTTTATGGAGGTCATTTCTGTACTTGATAACCTTCTAAAGTTTTATTTGTGGGGTCGTCGTGAGTAAATGCTTTATTATCATGCTCTTTCGCTGGCTGTTCTTTGGAGACATCTGAATCAAAGAAACAAATAAAAATTACATCTTTGTAAATTAAATAGAATATTATACCTTTTAATAATTAATAATACTTACAATCTATATATTTAATCAATTTATTTCTTAAAATCTTGTTTACGTTCAATTAATTATCAATTTTACATAGGGTGAAAGTTTATCAAACAAAAAAATTAATGTAAATATATTGATAATTGTATATTAGTTTTCATCTCTTAAATGATTCGTGTACAAAATAAATTAAATTAATAAACTGTTTTAAAGATATTAAAAGGCTCAGTAAAATATTCTAAGTATGTTTTCAGCAAGCTCAGACATCTGAGAAGCAGAACAGGCTTATTTTTTTAGGCACATGCCTGCGGTAGCAAAATGTAAAAGTACATATATTTTATGATTGTTTAGCTTTTATTTAAAAAAAAAATAGTTTACTATAAATATGGAAAACGATGTGCTCATACTTAATTAATGGCAGATTGGTTTTAGGCTTTGTTAGGTCAGACCAAAGTTGGGGACTACAGATTTGTGTTGTCTAGAATGAAAAATAGGTTAAGGCTGATTCTGCCGAGAATTCAAAATAAGTAATCGTAATGATACAACTAAGAACGTAAAAAAAACATTGAAAATAAAATACAATCCAAGCAAACAATCAGAAATTTAAAAGCTGAATGAAAATCTTTTGTTTATTCTTGATTAAAGTATTGTTTTCCAAAAAACAATAAAATAATACTTCAATTACAATTAAACGAAAGAACAACATTGGAATAAACCGAAAAGTACAGGAACTGAACAATAAATAATTAGAAAATCTATATGACAGACAAAGATAAATAAACTGCTCCAGATCAGATAATTATCAATGGATCTAATATTGACATTTAAAAGAAGGAGTTTTGATGATAATCGAGGCAACAGAACGTCGAAACAAAGAGATTACCTTCTCTAAACCAATGGATTTCTTATTGTTAAGATATGTCTGTATATAAAGATAAAACATATTTGTGTAAAAGATATTTGAACAATATCTATTGTCTACATTAGATTAACTCAATTGACAAAACAAGCTTTATTTCTCCACTTGCTTGTGAAGGAAAACTATTTGTTTACTTTATAAAGGACCGTAAAAGAAATGTTTTAGTTTGACTATTTTAAACGCTTAATCTTAATCCAATTAACAATTAAATGACATAATGGTTTGTAAATTTTGATACAATACTATCGATGATAAAGAATTTTGGAAAATGAATGTAGTTATTTGGAATAAAATTGAATCAGATAACTGTAGAAAGTTAATTGTCTATACATGATATGAAGTTTTTCGTAAGTAATTTGAATCGGTGTTTACATATATTTCTATTAGCCAAATTTTTTCCTGTACCAGAATCGTCTACAATAAATAAATATGAAAACGACTATACAATTTATTTTAGATACATTTTGCATAATTAATCTACTCAATCAATCAAATTTTCAAGGAATAAAAGATTCGTATTTTTATATGAAACTTTATACTTATTTTTAAAATAGATACGAAGTTTCTATCTGTTCTTTCTATCTTAAACAATCTGTTTAAACCTGATTGTGAAGCTGATTTTAGAATGCCTATTTTCAAATGATTATATTTTAAATATTCTTCAATACAACATATTTTATTAGTTAGTATTATAATAATAATAACATCCTGACAATTATTTTTAAAAATTATCATTATATAAGAATTTTCATTCTTGTATTGTAATTCGTCAATGATAACTTGATGTCGTTATCTGTTTTAACTTTTGATATCCAATAAAAGCAATAAATTTGTAAAAGAAAGGAACTCTTTTTTTTTATTTCTTCTTTCTTAGGAGGATCTTTATCTATGCCTATAAGAACGAGGAATGAGGCCCAACATATCTAGGTCAGTCTGCTTACGAAAACTTCTGAAAGGGTCCTAACACAAAGGGGATCCCTAAAGGGGTAATGTGACAAGATGGAGTATTTGACACAATTTCATAAACGTAAAAAGAAGAAAAAAAAATTAATACATTGAATTTTTCGTTGTGTAGTTTGGACATTCAATGACAGACAAAGTTTTTCCCTGATTTAAAGTGTTAATTATAAAAAAACAAATGTTCCTTAACTATCCCGTCTTTCCCCCAACTTTATTGAAATACATTTCATTGAATACTGTTCCGAAGTGCATTACACTTAACGTATTCTTTTAATTAATAAATGCACAATAAAATTACAAATTCAGTGAGTTTCAAAACAATTTAATATAACTGAGAAAAAACTTGACAACAGTTGACACCTGACAGGAAAAGCCTAATTCAACAAAACAATGCTTTATCGCTTGACAGATTTGATAACGACTTGTAACGAAGTCAGGTGTTTGTAACGTGTAAAGTCACTTGTAACATTGTGAGATATTTTGTTTATTTCTAAAGTAAATAAAATTTTCCAGAATCCCCAAAAGATGCATGTAAAAAACAAAAAAGTTCAAGTTGATAACATTTCCTGCAAATTCAGTTTTTTATTGTGCAAGTTAATTAATTGCATTGTGCTAATTCGCGCTATTTATCGAGGTAACGCTAATGACAGTTCTAATTTTTTAGATGCTACCAATTTTTAAAAAATTTTTATTATTGACTGCCCTAAATCATTCGTTTTTCTTCCGAATGATTGATTAAGAGAAAACATTTAGGTTTTAATAGATAATATTGTCTAATTTATATTTCCATATAACTTAATTTACATTATTCATAATTGTTCAATAAATTCTTTCAAAACTTTGAATGCGTTTAAACATTAGTTTGATATTGTAAAAGATTTTAAACAACGTAAAATACTTTATACAATTAATTTAAAAATAAATAAAAGATTATCGCTTCAATTGCGGGACTTCGTCGTCATTTACTCGATGAAAATATATAAGTATTTAATTATTTAAAACATTCGATAATTATGGAAATATTATATTTCATTTGCGTTAAATTAAGTTTTCAAGTATACACTTCATCTTAATAAAAAATAACACTGTTTTCTGATACCGAAATTAGTTTTGGGAGAAAGCGAATTGGTTTCTTTCAATAATTATTTTCAATGTTGTCTTTAAGAGATATCGACATAGAATCGCCCAATGAGGGCTTTACGCTAGATGATTCATTTGTTAGTTTGTAAAATATTGCAAGATAATCGATAACTTCTTGATAGACGAAACGAATTAACCTGTTTGTAGTCGATGAAATTATTTTCACACTTTCTCTCAACAGGTGAGAAGGGATAATTTAATCATTGTCAAGTGATAATGGCTTTTCACCACTCACCAACGGCTGGCCACATGAAGCCAGGCCGATGATGAGTGGCGAACACTATCAGTGTTCAGTGCATGGAGAAATCTATACTGTACTTACTAAATGGTCCAGTGATTTTATCCATTCGGCCATTGTCAGTGACGAATAAATTGGGCTAATGGGGTTGCAGTCCTAGGGAGTCAGCGCCGCCATTTCACAAATGTTTTTTTTTTTTTATTTTTCACTGACGAAATTGTCTTTTACAATTTTATTACATTGTAAATGAATTCACTTTTCAATCCTATTGCCAGAATTCTGTATAATTTATGCCAGTATTCTGATGTAAAAATAAAAATGCATTTTTTGTTTTAATTATGCAAATGCACGACTGATACTGTTAGCCAGGAAACTTAAATGCATTAGGACGGCCCTACAATAAAACAGAAATAAAATAAAACAAACATTCAATAAAATTAGGAAAGTACAAATGATGGTCGGGTAACAAAGGCCATAAAGATGTCAGTCTGCCGCTCTCTGGGTCCCGTCTCGAACATGTCGGACTCCGACCCTCACTACTTGCATGACTATAATTGTTATAATATAAAACTCTTAATGGCCCAGAGTTAGCCGGCCGAATGGCCAAGGCAGTTAAGTCGTCAACCTACACTCTGGGGGACAAGAGGTTGAATTCGAGCGAATCGAAAATCTGGGATGGATTTGATCCTGTTCCTCACCACTCGGCCGCCCATTGTGAGCCTGGCCGAACTCAGAGCGTGCTTGAAAAAAGCTTCTCTTAGTGTCATATAATAAATTTTATTAGGCCTAAATGCTTTAAAGAATTTATCAAGTAAGAGTCGGTGCAGACATTGCAGCTTCTGGCAGCTATTGTCAGGATCTGAAATCAAACTACAAGAAAAAAAAAATAGTAGTCTACTTTTTTATAAAGAGCTTTTGGCAACCAATTACCAGATAAATCAAAATGTAATATGATTGATATTAAAATAAATAACACAATTGTTTGAAGGATTTGCTTTTATATACGATTTAATTAAATATGCAATCTCCTATAAGAAATCTGAGATTGGATGTGTAATATGGAAACCTAGAACTTGACCTGAAGTCTCTTTTATCGAACTTTTTATGATATGGCATCAAAAAGTATGTTTATTTTACATAATACATTCTAAATGATGGTTATTAGAAACCTAGGATCACTATTACGCTCAAAAATAATTGCATCATAAATATATGAAAACTAAAAATATGTAAATATATGATATCAATTATGATATTAATTAATTAAAAGTAATCGAAGTTTTATAGCCTGTTAAAGGGAAAACAAATGGCAAAATATTAGTTTATTTCATAGAATTTAAAATATCTGAAACATTCGAAATTATAATATTTTGACAGAAATTTTAAATAAACAAGAAACTAAAATAGCAAGATAATCAATATTTGTACTAATTTGTTTATTTTACTGTAGACATAATTTTAGCTAATAATAATAAATTGTTATTAAACAACGACAGCAAATAAATTATAAATCAAGTTTTTCTAAAAAAATAAATTAAAATTAAATTAAATTAAGTGAACGCCTTAACAAATAATTATATTTAAGATTAACTATGTAAAACATCAATGACCTAAATATGATATAAAATGCACGAGAAGTTGGACAAGGCAATAAAGTAAATTAAATTTTAAAACGATAAATATATTTTCGCAATTAATAAAACATTTGTTAATTAAATGATAGGAAATGAACAGTTCAAAATTTATTAAGAAAACAATGAAAGTTAATTAAGTTTGTGAAAGGTAATTTCATTCATTGATTATGAATAAAGTCAATTAATGTAATTTTATTAAAAATTCTTAAAATTAACACTTTTTTTAAAGCATTAATGATTACAAAAAGTATCCATTTTACAAATACGTGAGCCGTTCACAGCCCGGCACACGTATTTGTAAAATTTAAGTGACTCGTACAACATGGAATTCATATAAAACGGAATTATCAACAGTGTTATAGGGGGGTCGACTGTAATGCATATTAGCACAAGAAAGGTAAAGTAATTCAAAATGCATTATCATATTTAAAGATTGAAATGGATTAACGTTTCATTTTTTCTTGCTACAAAGTATTTTCGTTTGTATTATTAATAATAAAAATAAAAATAGAAATAATATCTATATTAGTACTGTAATTTTATCGAATCGGAAAAGGAAAATCCAATTTCCCGTTTGTCATACAGTATTTGTTACCAATATGAAATATCCCGAAGGAAACGATTTTTACCTTATTATAGTAATAAAAAAAAATAGTTAATTATTCATATTGAATTTTATCTTAAAAACACGTGTCAGAATTTATTTTTTTCAATATTAAAAGATTAGTAAAAATATTTGTCCTTACCAAATGGCATTCACTTAATCCGAAATCCAAATACGATAATTTATATTTGTTCGGTAAACGATTCCTTTGCTGGCTTTTACTTATTATATGGATATCGGAATATAATTACGTTCTTAATCATTAAATATATAACTAGAAACTGCGAATATTCAACAGAAAATATTAAATAAACTGTGCGATTTAAATATAAAATAATAATTTTTTTTTTCTATATACTAGAAAATAATGGCTAAACATGCTTATAATTTTCCTAAAACGTTTCTCTTGTTAATAATATGAGCTTTTTTTCGTTGTATATTCTTTCTTGTATCATTACCCATAAAGCATTATGTAAAACAATCTGTATTTATTGGGCTGCAATTTGAAGAAAAATGTAGATGTATAAATTCCCACTGTCGTCCGTCTATTGTTTGTCCTTCTTTAATATCGAGATACATAAAAGTCGAGACCGAATATTGAAAGCTTAGGGCAGGCCATTAACTATATACGAACTTCCGGTTTGTACAAGAGTTATTTCAATTGAAATTTTTCCCCTGAAAGGAGTTAGATAGATGACCGGCACGACTTTATTGTTAACAGAAAAAGTATGATGTACAAGGGCAAGACACCACTAATTTGAAATGGAGAGTACAGTATATATTTTAAATTAAATAAATTAAAAATATGATTAAAAACTGCAACCCGGCATTGTGACGATGTCACAATAAATAATTGATTGTATTAATAAATATATATTTTTAAGAGGCACCTCTATATTTATAGAAACTTCTCGTACCCATCTACACACTTCATAAAAACTTACAAAGCTATAATTTTTTTAGGAATTTCATTTTGGATAGCAGGCCTACAGATTCAGTTTTTCAAAGAAGATTAAAATAAGATAGCACATACAACTAAATAAAATCAAATTTTGATGATATAATGACTATACTGTACTTAGAATCATAATGATAATTTACAATATTATAATGTTAATGTAGACAGAAAAGTTGTGAGTATGTACTGTAATTATTATGCTATATGCGGGATTATCTCAAAAAAGAAACAATGATGTTAATCATTTCTTCGTGTCTCCTAGAAAGAGAATCTGGCGCCCCACTCTGTTACTTAATTATATACAAAATATATATGTATTATATATTTTTTATATGTTTTAAAAATAATTAAAGTGAAAATGAGATGTTTCAAGATAAATTTCTGATAATTATAGGAACAAAACGGTATGTGGTTTAAATAAACAAATAAGAAGTGGTTCAATGCAATTCAATGCGTGACAATGTCTATCTACGCTTCTAACACAATAAAGTGGTATAAATTAAGACACTTGGCGGGTTTTCTCATCTTTATTTAGTTGAGAAAACCCGCCAAGTGTCTTAATTTATATCACTTTATTTTGTTAGAAGCATAAACAAATTGTAAAGCACGGTTTCATATCATCAAAATGTCTATCTACATTCGTCAAAAAATCATTTTGATAAAAAATTATTGTATATCATTTATTAAATATTTTATGTAATTGTTTGGAAATGTGTTTTTATTTTGCAATTTTCCACTTAAATATTAAGAAAAAACCAGTAAAATCTCTCTTACCTGTTACATCGATCTTTCTTTCATTAAATACTTTGATGTATACTTTATATAAAATTGCAATCACCACGCAAATGGCCGACATGGAAAATGCGTACAGCCAAGGAAATAATAATACGCTTCTTTGTATCTGAAAAAAATAATATTAAATAATTTACAATATTGTTTATAGAGTTTAACTTCCGATTATTTGCGACTTAATTATTAATCAATCAGAATCATACGCACGATTCAGACTTTATCACATTTGAAAATAATCATCTGGAAACTTTATTTCTCGAAATAGGCCTATTTTCACAGAATGAATGCAATGTAACATGAAATATGATATTTTAAAATAATTTATTTTCTTAGTTAATTTTAAAAGTATTCTGAATCGTTTATATTCCGTACGGTTCTTTACAAAAAGAATAATTAGAAAAAAATATATATATACTATATAATACAGCTTTTTACAGATCATGTATAACTTGATTCGTGTTAACTATATATTCCAAAAGTATTAATATTTGACAGTGTACATGGACTTTATGAAAACTCTGTACAGTCGACCCCCCTATAACACTGTTGATAATTCCGTTTTATATGAATTCCATGTTGTACGAGTCACTTAGATTTTACAAATACGTTCACAGCCCGGCACACGTATTTGTAAAATCTAAGTGACTCGTACAACATGGAATTCATATAAAACGGAATTATCAACAGTGTTATAGGGGGTCGACTGTATGTCATTTTTAATTAGATTTACTGTGTTATTATCGTAAGGATAAGAATATAGTAAATCTAAATCAGTTTATTATAAAATGAATTTATAATAAACTGAATCATATGATGATGAGATTCCGTAAACATTTATCGGGGTTCCACAACCGGAGTTCCAAAATATTTAACAAAATCGGGGTTTCACTATATTTAAAAAGAGTCTGTTAATGTTTAGAATTTTAGTAGATGTGAAATAAAATTGATTAAGTCTTTTCTTTTAACATAAATTTAGTGTTTTGAAATTTTCTTAACCTTTCCCTAAACTCTGTATAATAAGCTTATGATTTTTAAATTGAAATTTAACAAAATTATCGAAAAAAGTTAATTTTTAAAAGATTTTAACAAAGTAGAGCACCGTGGATATAAAACCAAGATTAGTTATTAAGTAATTTTGTATCAATAATAGGTTCCATATAATTATAGTCTATGTATAGTATAATTACAGAATCTTAAACTAAAAGCACAAAAAGCAATCAAATCAGAGAATAGACTTAATTCATATTCTGAATTATCTAAGCCAAATTACGGCTGCTATTCAACCCACAAAAACAATGAAGAATATGCATAATATTAAAAAAATTTAGATATTGTTATCACCATTTTAAACAATATCTAATATCGTAAAGCGTATATCTTAAAATAATTAGGAAATTCTGTTAATCGTTATAGATTTAACAAATTGTGAAATCGTTATACTGTAGATTACATTGAAAATAACTTTGTGAATGATTATTTTCATACAGTTGTCTAAGTACTGAATTACTGTTTATCACTAAAAGGAAAAAAAGTTCATTTATCATGGACTCAAGTAACGTCAAACGCGATAAGATTAACAAATGCTTAATAATTCAATTTAGAATTTTTTAAAGCAGTTATCTTCAAAGTAATATCAATTGTTTTTATATCTATATAAAACTCTGTTTCTCCACTACAAAATGAGAAAGAGATTTTAAATAAATAAAGATTAAGAAAGAATTAAGTAAATAGAGTGTTATCAATCTTACAGTGGGTTTGGGATACTTTTGATAGCTGTCTGCAAATAGCATAAAACTAGTAAACACAATCGTATATGTTATAATTCTAGCTCCTGTCATTTTTGATCAGGCAGAAAAGAAACCATCGATAATTTTTCTCTTTGGAATGAAATTGATAATTGTATATACAGAAATAGCAATTCGCAGCTTTTGATATTTCGCATGTTATTTTTGAGTTTATTAATTCTACTTCCGTGGCGATTCAGAAAGCTCTTTGTGATCATTTGAAGATCCTGCATGACAATTGACGTGCCACAATCACTGCAAATGGCAGGTGCATTTACAACCTAATTGTCATTTCTTTATCAGCGGTGAAAACTCGTTGTCTCTTAGTTCTTTTACGATTTAAAACTTTATAATGATTATGTAGTGTCCTATAGGAGATATTATATTTTTTAGCAGCTTTGTTTAATGATAAGTTGTGGTAAATGACTTTTTCAAACGCTATTTCGAGACTTCGTCTGAAAAATTTCTATACTTCCTTATTCCCAGCTTATAAGTTCGGGCCAATTCCACAAATTTCGGCACAGTACCAGAAACAAAAATTAGATTGCCAGAAAAACTAAACCGACAACACGTACTAACAAAAATATCAAACAAAAATTATAGGTACTTAAAACTTTATTTAATATTCAATAATTCATTAAACAATGTTATCAATCTCGTCTCATTTTATAAGCATGGCTACAGCAAGCTTACAACAAGCTTAGTACTGTATTGCTATAAATTTGGGTATTAATAGCTAGGAATACAAGAGTTTAATGAAAAATGAACCTAGCAGCGAGAAGAAATTAATTCTTGCTCCACGATTTTCCCACTCACGAATGTCATAAAAACGAGGACATTTTCAGGAGAGGATAAAAAAATATTCTGACGTCAATTTTCCACGTACAGTACAGTACACTTGCAGCTCACTGCTGCACCACACGGATGTCGATGATTACTCATAGCGTGAAATTTAAACAAAAAAAGAGGCTTGTGTTATCAAAGTCACTCCTTGAAATTATAATTATTCATTTCATAATATAAATAAATGAATAAATTATGAATAATCATAAATAAATAAAAAACAAAATAGAAGTAAATAATAGTGAAATCACGTTTAATTTCTATGTATATAGCCATAATGTATATTCATGCTTTTATATTACAAATCATCAAGTTATTAATTACAATAAAACTTTATTTAATCTGGCATCTACGGGATCTGAATAATGCCGGTATCACGAGTTTAAGTATACAGGTGTTTAAAGTGTCCGGTTAACTTTTTTAAAATTCTAAACCGTAAATAGGATTAAAAAAGTTAATATTTTACGGTAAATATTTACAGTGTATAACATTGCTGTTCTAGAAAGAGCAATGATATCAATGCTGAATTATTTTTTTTAAATTTTTAGTAAATGCGAATGAAGAAAATTTTTTCATATTTCTGATGGTGGATCAAGCAATTGGAGGTCTCGAGTGCAACCGAGTTTTGAGACCCCCTAGTACTAAGTACTGCTATCAAATCACCTTATTACGCAATAAAAACTACTAATCAATCAATCGTTTCCTTAAAAATAAATCTCTAAATGTCTAGATGAAAATTGAAGGCATATCTGTGCCCGGAGGTTCGCAGAATGTATCTCATTTTGAAGCTGCTAACTTTTGGAGACCCTAAGAACGACTTCTTGCGCCTATGCGATGATCCGCCACTGCATTTTTCAGGGTTTTATTTCCAAAACGTGTTAAATCCAATTTTAAGTTATTATTATATTTTAAATACAATAATGCCCCAATTTATGTGGCATTTTTTGATATTATAAGCCTATGTCTCAATGAAGACACTAAGTGAGAAAGCTATTTTTGAATTTACTTAACATTAACTTTAAACTTAATTCATATTTTGAATTATCTAAGCCAAATTACGGCTGCTATTCAACCCACAAAAACAATGAAGAATATGCATAATATTAAAAAAATTTAGATATTGTTATCACCATTTTAAACAATATCTAATATCGTAAAGCGTATATCTTAAAATAATTAGGAAATTCTGTTAATCGTTATAGATTTAACAAATTGTGAAATNTGGCATTTTTTGATATTATAAGCCTATGTCTCAATGAAGACACTAAGTGAGAAAGCTATTTTTGAATTTACTTAACATTAACTTTTTTAAAAATGATACTACGTGTTTATACATTCGATTCAAAGTTTTAAGAGATCAAAATCTTAACAAATAACCCTCGTAATAATGAACATTTAAAAGATAATCGTAACGATAATTGTAAAATTTAGGAATAATGTTATATTTTGTATCACAGAACTCTAGGTCTAACTTATGACACAAAATTATAAAAATTATCAGACGTTTTGCAGAATTCCATAAATTATAAGCTATCTGAACGCTGAAAACATTGCTGTACATTTTTGTACTAAGGCATATGACTGTACGCTTCCAATTTGTTTACCCACGCTTTTTAATAAGCTGAAGATGTTATAGTGCACAACTACACAGTGTTAAGATTTATTGAAAGACCTGCGAAAATACTATTGAATCTATTAGTGCATAAAATCAAAATTCATAATAATTCATGTGTATCCATGACGCATATCGTATTTCCGCCAGAGGTCTTTAGCGCATCACATGTCCAAACAAATACAGATTAGCGAAACATTAGAATGCCTAATTATTTTGACAATTCCAAATTACCGGCCACTTTTCAGAAGACGTCAGATTAATGAATTTATGATTTCTATGGTAATTTTTCTTCATTACAATTGTTTCATTTTATAATACTATACTTGAGATCATTATAAATGAATTTATTTTTCTTTAATTTTCAGCTTCTTCGAGTTCTTTATAAATATAAGCTTGAAAATTATTAGATTTACGATACCTGAAACGGAAACGATAGTGAAATCACAGTTAACGATGTACCAACATTCTGCACACTCGATTCAATAGCTATAGTTCTTCTGGCAGCTGGTTTTTGATGAAATAACCATGACGATGTGTATCCCAATATAAAGCCGAAAATAGGTAGCAACACTACAGATAAATAAAGAAGCCAAGGAACATCATCGAAAATATTAGGAAAGATGAATACCTCCATAGTCTGGCAGATAACAATTATGGCAATACCCGCGTAAGAACCGATCTGAAAAATAAAACACATTAAAAATTTTTTAGTTGAATTATTACAAAATTTGAAATCTTTATTACTTTTGTTAAATGAGCTGCCAATTTAGGAAATTTCCAATGTACCAGCAGACCTAATGCTACGGGTGATGTCACCGAAATCAAAGAAATTGCCATTTTAGCATATGGGATAATGATATTTCTGGTTGTCAGGTTTTTACCATACATCCAGACGTTCAGTGGCATCATGCCCAGTGCCAAAAGCGTAGAACAAGCCGTCATGGTAATGCTAAAATATATAAATAAATAAATAAATTCAAAGAAACATAAGAAATAATTTACACAATAGTATAAAAAATGTATAGTAATTAGGAATGAATTGACGCTAAATATTTATTCTCAAATTTTTCTGTAACGTGACTCACATATAAATGTTATTCAATTTATGAAAAAAAGCTTATTTAAATTTTATAATTGATTATTAACAAATAAAAATATAAGCATGTATACTAAAGGCTATTTAATTTATGTTTTCATATGCTACAGTTAACTCATATTCAATTTTATAACGAATAGATATATTTATTTCATATCACGCTTAGGAAAATAGAAGGATAAAAATAAACTATAACAATAAAAACTTTATTGTGTAATTATTTTTTATTACTCAATTTATTACTGAAATAATAAAAGTCTTCAACTGATATAAAATGTTTATTAAAAATAGTAATAAAATACGAGTGCATTAAACTTTATCTTAATTATCCATGTTATATTTCTATCGTAATTTCAGATATTTTAGGATTTTTTAAATTGTCTATTTTTTTAATTATATAAAAAGTTAAATTAATATAAATAGTTAAAAATTGTATAATATTAAATTTTTAAATTTCAATTTTATCATATTCTAATTTAATGATCTGTCTATCATTTAAATATTTTTTAAAAAATAGTATCATAATAACTTTTAAAAATTTTCGTGTATTAATTTAATTATTAATTATATATATATTAATATAGCAAATTAACTAATAATATATAGCTAATTATTAATTAAATATTAAATTTACACAGCATTTTACGAATTAATTACAAAATATTGATAAAAATTGGAGCTTCAATATCAATCGCTATCATAATTTAACTTATTTCTAAAAATAATCAGACTATTTCAATTAGTTATATAGAATTTTAATTCAATTTTTAAAAGTTTTAGCATTATTTTATAAGAAAATAAGAACTTGTATTTTATTTGTAATACTTGAGAGCATCGTAAATATCATTTATAGTTTTCCTCTTTTGTTTTGCTTATTAGGAACAAATTATCCGGAATATGGTAGGCAATACTGATGAAGGATAAGAAATAATAGTAAAGATTTGAAAAGATGTATTCAAATCTTTACTATAAAATTCAATTAAAAAATTATATATTGGCGTATAATATACTTCTCTTCTCAATATCGTGAAAACTGAGCATTCCGGAAATTTTTTCTGATATACTGGACGATGAATTCCAACACTATTCCGGGTAAATCGAAAAGGTTAATCGTTTTACTCGGGTGAAATTAGTGAATGGTATTGTTTATCAAATAACTCAAGTGTGAAGTCAACGATAGAACGAGCGATCCTTCGGTGATATTAAACTTTGTAAACGAACTCATTATCAACCAAAATCATTACTTCCATTTACTCAATAACTAGGTGAATGCAATCTTTGACTTTCAATAACAGTCATTGAATGATAAAAAAAACAATAACCCATAATAATTTTTTTTTTCTTTTTTATAATTTCATTTTTGGAATTATGGTTTGATCAAGGTAATACCTGTTTCTAAATAGAAGAAAAGCATTTGAATTTTGCATAGTACATTTAATTATTTTTCCATTAACATCTAAGTGTATTAGAGTTGTATGAGGAAATACTAAACTTATCAAATCTTTGATAAATACTCATAGATGGATGAATTGTAACTTTCAAACTGAAAAGTAAAACCCTTAAATTTTTTGATAATGTCTTAAATTAATTTTTGACATTTTAAAGGCTAAATTTATTTTAAGATCATACAGTTTAATATTTTGACTTGTTATACGGTATATTAATTAATTTTAATCGCGAAGTTACAACAATTCACAAAGAACAAATTTGTAATAAATGTTTTCTATTCTCTTTTGATTTATTTAAAAATTTATAATTTTTTAATTATTCTCTTCAAATTTTAATTTATATATTCAATTAATTATAAATATATTTCAATGTTTATTAAATATCAGAAAATCCTTTTAACATAAAATCATTGTAAATTTGGTAGGATTTCTATATTACGATTCTAAACATTGATTCTTTATGTCTTCAATTCTATTCTATTTTAATTTTTTTGTTTGTTTTTCATGATTGTGTGAATTCTAAAGCAGTTTTTTAAAGAATTAAATATAATTAATTTATTAATATTTATATTTTTTTTCAATATCGTTTGGTGGCATTTAACTTTACTGTATACTGTATACATAAAAAGCACAAGTAAATAACCTAATAAAAGTTGTAAAATTTATATGAATTTTCATAAAATTCATTGCCACTTAAAACCGATATTTTTATCTTTTCAAAGCCAGAATTGCAGTCCTTTGTCCTGCAGTCTTGTCCTGCAGTCTCGTTCGGTCTTAACTTAAACAAATCTAGCAACAAGTTGCGTAATTTCCAGACAAAAAATGTTAAATAATTTAATAAAATCTCATAATAGATGGTGTCACACACAGTGACACCATCTGTTATGAGATTTTATTTAAAACTTTATTATTATTAATTATTATATAACGGCAAAACACTTAATTTTTTTTCATAAAACTCATCTCTCCGATAAATTTTTTAAAAAATTATAAATGCTAATAACGAGTAAATCAAGTCCGACCTCCCTCGAGATATGACATACGATTCCCCCTCTATCTCTCTACATCCTTAATCTTTAACCACCAGAATTTAATAGCATCAATCCTCCTAGAATACAAAACTCCCTGGAAAATTTTAGAAATTTTCGACAAAACGCACAAGAGTTATTGAGCTTCAAAGTGGGTGAACGAAATCCTGCCCCTTCTTTATAAGATTATTCGGATAATGATTTTCAATATTATAAATTAATAAAAAAAATTTAATATTACATAGGATAAATAGTAAAGACGATGTTATTTTATAGTTATAGAAAACTACACACACGTCCATTCATATAGAAAAAACCCCCAACCTTTCTTTTGCATTTCTCAACGTTTCAAAGTTCCCTGATTCAAAATATGTAAAAATATTATTTAGTAAAAATATTATTAATTTTTTGACCGATTGCCATACTTTCCCTATGTTATACAAGTATATAATTGCCGGGAAAGTAATAGCCATAGCCTAATCGTTACGTAAATATCTCTCAAGGAGATAGGATGATAGATATTTATCAGCACGGTCATTCAGCTAATTCAAACTGTTTATATTTATAGATGAACTATATACATCATCCTTTTCTGCCGAAGAGGATTCACGATTATAAAGCACGCCAAAAAAAAAAAAAAAAAATTGTATTCAATGTAACTCTAAATCTGTGTTTCAATTATTAGAAAAACAATTTATTTTTTCGCACAGAAAATTAATTAAAATAACGCAATAAACATTAATTAAAGAAAATTTATATCTTATTATCAAAAAATCTGACGAATTTCGGCATTAGATTCAATTAGAATTAGTAATAGCGATTGATATTTAGGCTTTAACTATAAATGAATATTCGTGACTAGTTCGAAAAAAGCGATGATGCGAATCTAATACTTAAAAATTAGAAACGAACCTGAGGGAGATGTCACCATCACAAAAGTAGGTAAAAATACTAGATGTTACTCCTCCGGGGGAACATGCCAATAATAGCATACCTGTACCATGAAGAGCGTTTAGACCAAAAGCTTGAATGAGTCCAAAAGCCGATAAAGGTAACAGCACAAACTGACTAACCATTCCAATGACAACACCTATTGGACGTCGAATATGCTGCCATATCTAAAATATTTAAAAAAACATTAAAGTTTAATCTTAAGAAAATAAATAAGAGAAGTAATTTGGTGTTAACGAAGCGTAAAATTGTTTTATTAGTTTCGTTAGTTTATCAAATAATATTTATTATTAAATAACTAAATTTTATAAACCCGAACTGAATATTAAAAGTTTAGAAAGTTTACGATGTACTGTACATTTATTAGCTCATCTGTTGCTGAAATTACTAATCATAAGATTATTCGGATAATGATTTCAATATTATAAATTAATAAAAAAATTTTAATATTACATAGGATAAATAGTAAAGACGATGTTATTTTATAGTTATAGAAATTGAAGCGTGATTTCATTTATGTATTGTACTGTATAATATATATTAGAAAGTATTAATTAATTATAATTACAAACAATAACTTGTAATTTTCTATACGAAGCGTTATTAATAAATTAGCATCCTAATATCGGTAATAAATAATAGACAAACACGAAAAATAATTAAATAATAAATGTAATAAATAAGCGATGTTCGGATACTTTGAATGACACAACTCTTATGAAGATTTGAAATCTTAAAAATTTACGTAAATATAAAAAATGCACGGACACTTACAATTTCCTTAAATGCTTACCTGAGAAAATTTGCATAATATTTTTTGTTATAATGTATAAACGAAAAGTAATATTTTCTGATTTATCTTGCAGCATTTGCCAAAACACTTGGCAAATTTCTCGGTTAGAGTCTCTAAAATAAATGATTTTTAAACTCTTTCCACCATTAAGAATGTTTTTTGGTGTCCGCCACGTGTTCGACCAGAAGACGAAATGCGAGGCACATATTCAGATTAATCCGTTCGTAAAAGTTTCTGAAGCGACTCGACTTCTAACGCAGATATCATGGACAATTTTAAAACTTTAGTACAATTTCTGAATGGACGTTTAACTTTACCATCTCGGAAAAAAAAATAAAAAAAATAAACTATTGCAAAAATACTTAAAGAAATATTTAAACAGCACCCACTACATGTACCTAATAACTTACATCTGGACAGAAATATTCAGTTCTCAGTCTTACCTGGACTTCACTTCATCAGAGATTTTTTAATCGTATTGAATATGGCAAAGAAGTTAAATGAATCTCATACTATTAAGTGTTTTAACCGATATTTTTTACGACTGGGAAGTGGCCGGATGGTCGAGCGGTTAAAGATGGTAGGTAACCTTTTGCTCTGTGAAACCAAGGGCCTCGAATCCGGTTAGTTAATTTGTATACGGCAATGCAACACATGGGCGATGCCACTTGGGAGGTCATGGAAAATTGCCCCTGTTTAGGTGTTACTAACGTAAAGAAACCCGGAAAACTCCAGGTGGCCAACTCACTGGCGAGGCGCGAACCTACAACCAACTACCAGTGTTCAGTGATTTTGTCTATTCAGCCATTGGTGGGAGGATCGATGGGTAGAAAAACTCCGGGAATTTTTTGGTTCGTTCATCTGAATACGTCGGACACCCGCTCCTTACCAACCGGTCGCTCCACTGAGAATTACGCCAAACCCATAAAGGACTTGCTAAAAAAAGTCCAAATTTTGTGAACAATCGTCCTTCATCCCATTACATTAATTTCAGGATCCTTCCGTCCATACAAGACAATCCTCGTTTCTTCAAATTTATCGCTGCAGGCTATACCATAAAAACGTCAATAGCATAACAAACTTACTTCGCCACGATTATAATAAGCTGAAATCATAGTGTAGAAAATTATTATATAATTAACCGTTTTCTATTTCAATTATTCACTTTGTATTTCATTATTTTTGTACTGTACATTGTTTTTATGGGAATTGGTCACTAATTGTTAAATGGGGCGACAGTTTTTGTCCTGTCGTAAATACATAAATAAATTACTCAAATAAAATAAATTTTACATAGATATGCATAATAATGAAAAGAGTAAATGCAAATATAAGAATAAAAGTGTTTTTTTTAA